CGAGTTTGCAAGGTTTGACCCCGCCTTTGCCGTGGGTTAGAACTGGCACGCTGGCATTGATTGTTTCGTCGATTAGGGCGAGCATCCCTTTGCAAACCATAGGGTTCATTTTTCCCCGTAGGTTGTTTTACTGGTCGCCTCCCGGGGTTAACTTGCCTGTGGGATTCACGCTAGTGAGCAGAATGCGCCTTGTGGTGTTAGGGGTGATGGTTGCTCCTTGTTGCCAACGAGCCAAATTGGTCATTGGCCGAGCCAATGGGGCCCCTTGGAGTAACCTCCGTGAATTTGGCTAATCAAGGTTCTAGTGAGCTAGTTGCTGATTCCTTAGTTCAGCCACATTCTGTTGCACCACCTATGCAAACATCATCCTTATCATTTCCATCAATTGGCTATTCTTGGGATTTGACATCCCTACCCCCTACTGATTTGTGACCTACTGCACTGGTGGAATTGGTGGTCAACCTAGATGAGTAGTCTGATGCTCCTGATTGGTAGTTTCCACGTTGTCGTGGTTCCTAGTGGTGGTTTTCCATTTGAATTTTTAGATGGGTCACTGAAATTGATTGCCAGAACTTTTGAAAGTAGGCGGAAGCCCTCCTTTTAGTGCAAAAATGTTGATGCAAGAATTACACCAATTAGAGTGATCTGATTGACCTTGGTGGAACCGAAATTGATGTGTACGTGATTAAAGATAATGAGTAATGCAATGAATGTAAAACAGTAAAGTGAAGAACACAAAAGGTTTTTAAAGTGGTTTAGCCAATTTGAATCTTGAGCCTACGTCCACTATTTTTCTTATTTGCTTAGAGAGCTTACAAGAAAATAGTCTAATGTCAAGAACAATTTGCTAACCCCTCTTCCATCATTGGAGGGGGTTTATATACAAGCTTTTTTACAAAGGAAATAGCCTAATTAAAGGAATTACAATTAAGATTGAAATGCAACTCTGATATTTTCGCGATTGAGCGCCAAGATCGTGCCATTATTGCTATTGATCTGATCTCTTCTGAAATATCTAGGATCTGAGCTTATCTGTGATTTGCTTGAACAACTGTCAAGATTGGTCGCGACTAGTTTATGTTGGGTCGAGCTATACCTCAACAAGCTTATGCTAGGTTGGACAAGTGTTGAGCAGAGCTGATTCTAAATTGAACTATCACCTCGCAAAACTCTAACTTATCCGAGCTTAATGGAAAAATCACACATAACACTGTTAGTGTATATTAGTGTATGCCTTAGAAACCATTCATGTTATCGGTTTCAGAGCATTTTGTCTTGTATCTATATATATCATAAATAATAGAAGAAAGAGTTCTTCAATTCATATATGTAAATTGCTTCCTTTATTCAGTCATGCATTTAAAATAAAGTATGTATATGAATTGTCCAGATGATTCATTTAATAGGTAAATGAATTATCGAAAAGGGTTCCCTACGGAAGCAATATAAATTTGGGCAACTATATTGTACAGTAGGCATACCGGATGCTTCCGAAAGATATCATGAGTTGATATAAGTACGGATGACGATGATAGTCATGTCACTGGGGCATTGGTATGGATTAACGGTTGGTGAACTGTTTTTCGAACGTGACCGAATAACGACAAATCACTTGGAAAAGCATGTAGTCAATGATTTATCGTTTGGTTATATCAGTGCACGATGTAGTCCTTTGACCTGAGACATTGTAGTCGGATCCGATATGGATGCGTATGGTTCATACGGTGTATAAGTACGAGACTAATCATGTTTCGTACAATAAAGCCTATTTGGTCATGCGTTGTTCATATGCGGAAACGAACGATGGTCAAGAGGGGATCCATTGACTCGGAAATATAGGATCGGGAGTACCGCTGACTCCATCCGGATTCGAGTTCCTAGACGAACATCGATAAATGTCGGAAAACTGAATCTCTGGCCAGAGTCTATTATTAGTCATACAAAAGTAAGTTTGTGATGACAAGTTCCGGACATATTGATCGACAATTCGGTAGAAGATCGAGTTTAGGATTTTGACGTTCCATGAATCCATACTCGATTAGGATATCTCAATGGAGGGACTTTACCTGCATGGTACGTATGATCTGAAATGGGTTCGATGAAGTATTTCTTCATCGTGGTTTAGGGACTATGGCACATTGCTAGATGTTTACCATAGTCGTTGGGCCTCCGGACGGGTTTCCGGATTCATCCAGAACCGGCTCACGGCTAATCCACGGTGGACCTACATGGTCACACCAATAGCCTTGAGAAGTTAGAGAATGATGAGAGAGAGAAATGATTATCCGAAGAGGGCTAGCACCTTCCGAGGGTAATAACGGGATTTCTATAGTAATAGTTACATAGAAAACAATTTGTGACATTTTAAGGGTTAAAATGGTCAAGCAATAATTAATTATATTTAATTATTATATCTTAAAGTGTTAAGATTAATGAGATGAACAAAAATAACCTTTTAATAGTTAAAGGGTAAAAAGGGTAAATTTATGGGTTGTTAATGTAAACTAGTTTAGTTTACATGGGCCCTTGAATAATATTGATTATTCAAAGGGTAGCATATTAAATTCGTGGGGTCCCTTTATAAAATAAGATTTTATTGGGCTTGGAAGTGAAAAATAAATAATTGCAAAATAGCCCAAGTATATATAAGTGCAAAAGGTTGCATTTTTGTTCATTATTCACTTGTTCACTCAAACACAAACTAAAAGCTCTCTCTCCCTAGCCAAGGCCACTCTCTAATCCTCTCAAGGTGGTGTTAAAGTGTGGAGGTTTCATCCTTTTGAAGCTAATCTTCATCAATCCAAAGCAAAGGAGTAGGTATAATCTCATATCCAAGCTTTGCATGTAAACCGTTTTTTTTAATCCATGCTTTCATGCTTTCATTCTCCATCTCCACCACTCTTCATGCATGCTGGATCTTTCAAACACTTAGATAAATTTCCCTTAAAAGATCACACATTCACTCTGTCAAGCTCCTTACATTTATTAATTGACCGAGCTATTCCTAGTCACAACCCATACTAAATTAGCAGCGGCCAAGCACAACAACGACTAGGGGTGTTCAAAAGTGGTTAACCAAATCGGCTTTTCGGTTTAGGAAAATTCCTGAACTGAAACCAAACCAGTTTGGAGGGAAAACCTATTTTTTAGTTAACCAAAAAACCGGTTAACCAGTTTTGAACCTATTTTCCCCTTAAATTAGATTAAACCTTTTTTTTTTTTTAATTTTTTCTTGAATTAAACTGTAAGCATCAACAATACATATCCATTGACCACAACTAACAATACATTAAAAATTGATACAAATAAAAGTCCAAAATGTAACAAAAATAAAAGTTTGTAATGAAACATCCATAATAAAACAACAAAATAACTAAGTCTCAATGGAAAGCAACAAAAGAAATTGTGCAAATACAACTCCACAAGTGGAAAACGGAAACCAATATTAAGTTAATACGAGTAGCTCTCCCAATTTCTGGCCAAATAAAAATTAAATGTTAGAAATTTATAAAAATTAAATCATGTTTTTTATTAAATGCCTACAATAACAAAACTGTTAAAGAAATCGAATCTCAACTAATGTTGGGATTTAGGTTTAGCCGTTTAGGGATTATATATATATATATTAGTAAACCAGTTAGTAAAATTGATTTCAATTAATCGGTTTTCAATTTCACTCAAATTGGAAACCAAACCTAAAATCTGATTTTTTGAATTCTTTAAACCATAACCGAATCGATTTTTCAGTTAATCAATTTTCCGTCCGATTCAGTTTTTGCATTTTGCATTTTTTTAAAGGACCAAACAAGTAACAACGACAGACGGCCTGATATAAATAAATCAAAATAAATATTTCCGTTGAAGTGACAGGTAGTTCAGACTTTTGAATCCAACCCCCAATTCGATTGGTCGTGATTTGTGGATACGGTTACGTAACAAATACCTCGTGTCTTCCAAGTGTTTTGCTTGCAAAAGAACATTGACAACTCAGCAAATATCTATTTAATAATAAATATTTTTGTTAAATTCACGATTTTTTTCTTAATTAAAGAAAATACAAAAAGCTTCAGATATGATATAATTTATTTCAGAAAATACGATTATACGAATGCTACTCTGGAGTCACATTACAGACGAGACTTAGGCTTCGTTTGGTTCAAAATTTGGGGGTTTTGAGAAAAGTTTTTTGAGAAAAGTTTTTTGAAAAAAGTTAAAAAAAAGTTGAATTGGACGGGTATTACGAGGTAGGATTTATAAATTTAAAATGCCCCTTATGTTTGTTTTTTTACAAAATACCCCCTATAATAAAACATTAAAAGTTAACAAAAACACCCCTAACCCACCCTCAAATACCCCCAGCCAGCCACCACCACCGGAGGTGGCTGGAGTCATCTTATCGGCGCATGACCGGCTGGATCTTGCCGGTCATGCGCCGCTATGGCCTTTTCCGGCCAGATCTACGGTGGATCTGGCCGGAAAAGGCCAGATCTGGTCGTCAACAGCCAGATCTGGCCGTATTTGCTCTGAACGACGGCCAACAAATGGTCAACGACGACTGTTTGTTGGCCGTCATGACCGACTGTTACGGCCAAAGATCCGACCGTTAAAGGCCAAAGATCCGACCGTCAACGGCCAGATCTTTGGCCTTAGATCTGGCCGAAAAAGGCTAGATCGGCACACTACCGGCCAGATTCAACCGGTAGTACGTCATTCTATCAGATTCCGGCCATTTTTCGATGGTTGGCCGGATTCTGGTAAATGTGGATTGTTGGGGTGTTTTTGTAATTTTTTAAAAAATATTTAGGAGTATTTAATTAAATTAACAAATTTAGAGGGTTTAAAAAAATTGAATAATATTGAAAGTAGTATTCTAAAAAATGAGAATTTTTAGATATTTTACTATTTAAGTTTTTTGGGAATACTAAGAGTAGTATTCCCAATTTTGAACCAAACGAAGCTTATTCTTCGATAAATTGATTTATAAAAGCACATGCTTTTCCTTCTACTCTTTTCTCCTCTTCTCTAAATAGTGTAGAACCTCGTGCGAGTTTTCACTGGCAATCGAACTGACAAGCGAGCGACACAGAGAGAGAGAGAGAACGAAGGAGAGAGAAGTTATTTGAGATCTCTCTTTTGCTTCTCCTCTCAAAATTATCAGCAATGGCCGATGAACCTTCCGTTACTCGCTGGTCATTTCAGGTACTAAATTTTTTATGTTCTTTTTCTTTTGTTCATGTGTTTGTGTGTGATTGATGTCAGTTATTACTCTGTTTGTTTGGCTGTTGAGAAATTTGAGGAGAAAAAGACAGTTAAATTCCGGAAGTGTTGAAATAGATCGTCAATTTTTTGAATGGAGAAAATGACGTTTAGAATGTTGAACTGAGTGTCACTGTTTGGTTAGTAAGGCTGACGTCATTTTAAGAGCTGGATAATGTAATTCAAATTCATATTCTTATTTTCTGAGTTGTTAATGTCTTACTGATAAATCGTCGATCTATTTTAACTCTGTTTAACAAACTGACATGCATGTCTTTGTTTATATGAAATCTGAGAAGTTATTTGATGGTAGATTACTAGCTTTTGCTTAAGTGTATTGGTCAAAGTAGTTCTTTGGCCTTGTTTTCTTGTTGGTGAATTGTGATGCAATTGATGAATCCGTAAAAGAAACGCTGCATTGTGCATTTCTTTTAAGCTACCATGTTTATCTATAGGATTTTAAAATGTTTTATGATGCCAAGTTTGGGAGAAAGAAGCCAACGGAATCATCACAAAATGGTCAAAGCACTGAAAAGCCAGTTTCTAATGGGAGTTCATCAAATGGCAATGGCCATGTTCAGAGAGAGATGTCCATTTACGAGCAGTATCAGAACCAGGTATTGCGGTTTGCTTTATCTTCCCATGATGGTGAGACTTTTCTAGTGCTTTAAGAGCTGATTTTTTTTTTTTTATATTGTTATTACAGGCTAGGAGCGCAACGCACCTGAATGGAGATTTGTCGAATGGAACTAATGGGATACTGTAAGAGCCCTTAATTTAATATTTTGTTTTCGTAAAATTGAAGTATTTGTGATACTCCTCACTTTCTTAAATTAAGTAGCACCAATTTGTGAAATTTTTTCTTCTGACAAACTTCATGCCAGTTCTAAAATGTCAATCAGTAGTTTCTGATGCTATTAATTTCATAATGTTTGTTGTCTGATGAGTTATGTCAAAGATTTAACATAAGAAGATATGATATGATACAGTCATCATTTTTGCTTCTTATGTTTTTTTTTTTTTTTTTTAATAATTGTTTTAAAACATGAAACTGCTAGCATGATGCCTATTCATTTGAGAACTTGCTGATTTTGATATTGGCTGTTTTAGGCAGAAGCCACTGCTTCCTTCTTTTGAATCAACTGAAACTCGTGCTTTAGCTGAGAGTTTATGTAGGTAATGTAACTTTTTACTTCTACTGCATTCTTAATTTCTGCAAGGTAAATTTTTTGCCTTTTAACTTATTCTTTGCTGATTTAATGTTGTCCATACCATAAAAAATTGCACCTTACGGCAGGGATATAATTCGTGGAAGTCCAGATGTTAAGTGGGAAAGCATCAAGGGGCTAGAGAATGCCAAACGTTTACTTAAAGAAGCAGTTGTCATGCCGATAAAATATCCCAAGTAATTTCATCTTGGCCTTTTATGTCATTGCATGAATTTATTTCAAATCTTCTACTCCTTTTCTCTTCAATGAGGATATGTTCATAGAATTGAATATTTCAGCGTTACAAGAAATATTTATTTATTAATGTAATTGTTTCACTCAACAACTGAGCTTTTCTTTAGAATACTGTTGGTTTATCTGTCACCTATATTTCTGCTTCTGTAACTGGAACATGGATGTTGCTGATTCTCTACATGTTTTCAATTCATAAGAACTTTTTATTTGTTTGAGCATGTTTGTGCCCTATGTAGAATTAATATATGAAACATTCAGAAACTTTTCCATTGACCCTTTGAACTGTCAATTTGGTTTAATAAATGAGAGCACAAACTTGTTAGAAATTTATGTAATATAACTTTAAGTTTTTGAATGAAGCTTACTTTTTTCCTTCTTCTAGGTATTTTACTGGCCTTCTATCACCATGGAAGGGTATTCTTCTTTTTGGCCCACCAGGAACAGGAAAGGTTTGTTAAATTATTTTTTTTAAATTATATTGGTAATAATTTTTGTTATTTTGCTTGTTGCTTTATATATTTTATGACATTTTCTATTCATCTGTTATCTTTGACAGAGTTGCTATCTTTAGTAAGTTTTACATATCCTCATGGAACTTGTTTTTCACCTAAATAATGTTTCCCCACTTCCTCTTGTTTTCTAGATCTTGTAAAATTTGAGGATGTTAATCAGGTGATTATGAGAACTGCTTGTCCTTCTAGACACCCATTTCAACTTAGTAGTATGCTTGCTTTCAAGCCAAAAATTTAGGGGTTTTAAGTTATTGGATGAATGTAGATTTTCCATTTTTTTGCTGGAATAACGGATTTAGAAAGGAAGTGTATTTATTGCCAACATTTGAATCTAGAGTAGAGACATTTCAGGGATTTTTGTGCATCCATAAAGTCAGATAGATATTATTGTATGAGCCATTATGACCAAGAGGATCATCTGTATGGCTAGTCATAAAGTCTCTATTCTATGAACATACATGCTTTTTCATGGTGCTCCATGTGGAAGGACACGTTATTTGCATGCTATACAGGGACGTGTATGAAATGGGTAATTAAAACCAACCCCTAGACTTTGGTGGTTGGGGCTTGTCCATGGTTGGCTAGAATCTAATGGCTGTTTTCTGCAGAAGGGCACAATCTTTGCTAGTGCTGGATAAGAGAGATTCTGGGCTGAGCAAAATTAACAGTCTTGTCTTGATGGTGCTCATTATCATTTTTCTTTTGGGTATTAGTTACAAAATAAATTTCTATTTTGATGTTTCAGACAATGCTTGCAAAGGCTGTTGCAACAGAGTGTAAGACTACATTTTTCAATATTTCAGCATCTTCTGTTGTCAGCAAATGGCGTGGTATGTCAAAGTTTGCTAGATGTTCTTATCATGCTTGGTCTTTTCTAGATTTTCAAACCGAGGGATGAAAATGTACATTATCTATAATTTGTCTGTTATATGTAATAAAAGTGTTGTAGATTCACTTTTGATGGTCTCAAATTATATAATTAACTGTTACAGAAAAGACTGTGAGTGAGGATTGGGCATAATTTAATTCTGTGATATGAAAGAGGTAAAGAGGGGGCATTTCAAGATTGGCTTGATTTCCAGAAATCTACTGAGGAAGCTGTAAGACCCAAAAATAGCATGTTCTTATGTTTCTCAGGACAGGACTTAATTGGGTTGTGGTTTTTGATTGGTGATAGATAAATGAGCTAAAAGTTGTATAGCTCTGATCTCTACATCTTATCTTCAGTTTGTTTGATTATAGCATACTATAAAATTATTAACCAGATTAATCAAATAAGAAGTTTTGAGAAGTTGAACTACCAGTATTTTAGATAAGGCATTCTTGATGAAACAGGTTTACAAGTACCATATTTTGTATTTGGAAGGTGTGAAATATCATAGTGATATGTTGCTGCTTAACATAGATATCTCTTTTTGGAGGTGTTGTTTTATCACTTTATTAACTTCTGTTTAAAAAGTAAAAAGAACTTATGGCATATGATATGTACCTTTTCTTTAAGACAATTTGCCATATCATATTACAAGTACATCTAATTATGGAGTTATATGACATTGCAGGTGATTCAGAAAAGTTGATAAAGGTATTATTTGAACTTGCAAGGCACCATGCTCCTTCAACTATATTTCTGGATGAAATTGATGCAATAATCAGTCAACGTGGTGAAGGACGCAGTGAGCATGAAGCTAGTAGGCGTCTGAAAACTGAGCTACTGATACAGGTGATTTTCTAATATCTATCCATTACTACTTGCTTACCTGTTCCAAATAATACCTCAGCTGCATTTATGTCATCATTCCTGGCCATGCCGCTTCAACCATGTCAGTTTTTCGATTCTGTATTTAAATTTTTTTATTTGTGTAATTGACATAATCAGGGATAATATTTTTTCCAAATTGTGGTGCTGAAATGAACTGTCTGCATTTCAGCTCTTCAGTGAGAATTGCTTAAAATGAAACCATAATAAAATTTCAACTTTAGTTTATCAAATTATTCACTTGGATTAGATTGCAGATGGATGGTTTGACACGGACTGATGAACTTGTATTTGTCTTGGCGGCAACAAATCTTCCTTGGGAATTAGATGCAGCCATGCTTCGGCGTCTCGAGAAGCGAGTATCCTTTTGATAGATAAATTTATGACGAATTTCCTCATCATAACTAGATGGGATTTATACTGAAGTTTTAGATACAATGAAAAGGATTAGGTCTTAATATTTCACTTTTCTGAATGTTAATTTTTAATGACTTGAGGAAATCGTATTATTGTGGTTAACTGTTAAAACTTTTGCTTATGTGTGGAAGCTTTTGATGATGCTGTTACCAAACAATTTTCTCAGACCTCATCAAGTATTCAAATATTTTTTTACTTTCATTTCTTTCAAAACTAGCTATTGTGGAAGCCTAAGAGGTCGTGTGTAGAGGTTCAGGTTTGGCTTATACAGCATTTCATAGTTGCCATATAAATCATGTATGTTGGGGTATAGTACTTCTCACCTGTGTCAGTCTTGGTTGCCACGTAATTTAGTATTATGATGGCAGTGTTCCACACAATTCAGCAGCAGATTATGCAACTTAAGATCCGATTATCAATAATATTGATCCTTTAACCACGGTCAATAAGATCCTTGTACCTTTGCCTGAACCAGAAGCGAGAAGAGCCATGTTAGAAGAACTCTTGCCTTCGCAGGCTGATGAGGAGGGCCTTCCTTATGATGTATTAGTGGAAAGGACTGAAGGATATTCAGGTTCAGATATCCGGTTACTCTGCAAAGAGACAGCAATGCAGCCCCTGAGACGAGTAATGGCACTCCTTGAAGACAGGCAGGACGTAGTTCCTGAGGATGGTATGATTCCTGAAACTATGTTCTTTGAATTATACATTATACCCATTTCCTCCTCCCAAGGGAAAATATATTTAGAAAAATTACCTCTCATACTTGAACAACATATAGACAATTCCAAGAGAAATAATTTGCAGAAGCTGATTACTGTATATTATTGGTTCCCCTACACTTGATAGACATTACCATGTTACTGCATCGAATAAATTCAAGAACGAGGCAAAGAGGGCGGTGCTTCACTATTTCTTCTTTTATTCTTCTTTTCAGTTTCTTCCAGCCTATTTATTCGTGAAATTTTGAACTATCTTGAATGTAAGCATATCTAAACAACATTAAAGTTATACAAATAGGTTGTACAGAGAAGTGGCTTCTTTTTACTTTCTTTGCAGGCAGGGAGAGCTGGACATGTTGCATAATTATCCTTTTCTCCCTTTCATTAACACTTTCAGATAGAAAACTTAGCAATAAGATTGTTCATTCATCTGAGCTAGTAACAAGACATCTTTGTCTCTTTTTTTTTTTTTTTTTTTTACAGAACTACCAAAAGTTGGGCCAATTAGAGCAGAAGATATAGAGGCTGCTTTGAAGAACACAAGACCATCGGCTCATCTCTACGCTCACCGATATGATAAGTTCAATGAAGATTATGGTAGTCAGATACTCCAATGAAGGTACCCCGTTGCTGATAGCCTTTAATTTGATAGATGTAATAATCCGTGGTTGACAAATTGTTAAACCTTTGTAACATTATTTGTCACTAGGTGGTCAATGAGTATTTAAGAGTAATGTGTTCCAAATACCCACGGATGTATGTGTTCCGTTATGTTGTTTTGGTGCGGTGACTGAACATATTCAGGTTAGCCATTGTCTTATATGGTTTTGTTAGTTATTATTAGAGCGAGGGCTGATTGGTTTTAATAATTTATATCATATCATGCAAAAAAATTTCACCTTCAATCACGCTGAAGCTCCATTCTATTTGCGGAATAGGCATTGTTACAATTTTCATTAAGCACACAATTACGCAGTTTCTCCATATCCCACTTGATTGCAGGTCAAAGTTTGGCCGACGTTTTGTTTATTAAATTGTGTCATAGAAATGTATTTTTCTTCGACGTCTGTATCAGTGTTCAGTGTTTTAAAACCCAGCTCGGCCCGACCGGTTGAATCGGTACTCGAGGCCTTCACCGGGCTAGATTACCAGTTTTATTGTTTATGATAAATCATAAATCCTAAAAATTAGAACGACGATTGGCGAACAATTTGTGGTTATGATGTTGGAGGTTTTAAAGAGAAAGAGTCAATAACTCGAAAGGTGGTAACAAAGGTGATTTCTAGTAAGTGAAACCGAAAATTATAAAAATAAATCAACGACGAGAATGAAAAGCTAAGAAGAGTTTTTGTAGTGATAGGATGTGTTTTCAACGTCAGTTGTTGACACCGACAATATAATTTCGAGTATTTTTGTGCAAAATTTCAAACCTGTAAAAATTTATTTGTAATTTTTAAAAGTACTTTTGCTAAATTTTAAACTCATGCATTCTGACATCACCGGTTTGACCCGATCTGCCGATCAACCCAAGACTCAACCACTTTGCCAAAACACTGTCTGCATTGCTAATCAACCAATATAAATTAAACACAACATAATTTTCGATCAAACCAAATTTCTAATTAACGATAGGTCTGACAGCCAATGGAAGTGCCTGAATTTGGTTTTAGTATCATCAAATTATTTCAGGAGTCACGACACAAGCAACTAGGTGTAGTTGAAATTTACCATTCCGATAGTTGCACAAGAAAAAGAAAATTGTATTAATCTACTAAGGCAAAATACTTGAAAACAAGGATCTTACAAGTTAAAACGCGGATCAACACCCCCAAAATACGCAAAACAAGTACTAATCAATTAACATTCCCACATACCCGTAGTAACACAAAAAGCCATGCCTTATCAGAGTACTACTACAAAGTGAGATCAACCCCCTCTATGTTCAATGATATTAACTTTGTCTAATTTGATTTAGCGATACCCTGATAGAGGGTCGGCCGTTTTACCGGATCTCGCATCAGTCCAAGCCTTTGCAATCGTTCGCTTCATTTCCTCATCCCCTTCCTCGTACATATTCTGTAGTTTTCAATTCATAATGTACAGAAAAAAATATATATATATTTAGCATTCACCACAGATTATGGCACACCCATAAACAACAATTTGTATAGATATCAAATAACCATGAAGTGAACTCACCTTCATCAAGTCCATAATTCCACCCATTGGATCGCGTTCCTTATCCAGATTTGGCTTCAGCTGTAAGACCGGAAAAACAAAGTACAAACATTAGTCGAAAGTGTTCCTCTATTACAACATGAAACGAAAAACCCCATCTCTTGCATTTATCTGTTTTTACCTTGTCCTCTTTGAAATGCAAGTCTAACCAGTTCCCTTTGGAAGCTTTGATCAAGGTAATGATAACTCTAGCAGGTTTAACAACCACCTTACATTTCTCTGGAACAATCTCCTGGTTCAACTTCGGAATGGTTAACCGATAATTCTTTCCTTTGACATCATGGAATTTGACATCAAACGACATCTGCTTAAAATCAGTTTCCATTTTGTCCTGCTCAACTCCTTCTAAAGAGATATATATCTACGGATGGAAGAAAAGATTAAAAAAAAAAATTCATTTCAGCTCCAATTGCAACAGTGAAATATCAAGACATTTATAATCTCTATAAACAATTGCTTTGATACCTTGACTTTCTCGTTGTCCTGATCCCAACTGAAAGACGCAAGCGTAACATAACTTGGTGCTGGATTATAAGGCACCTTAACTGGTGCAGGAATTGGAGTTGGAGTTTGTGAAACAGGGACATTAGCAGCCTGTTTTGACAACTATAAACCCAAAAAATAAAAAATAAAGGTCAGAAAATTAATAATCAAGAGCATTGTAGCATTACCAGTAAAATAAAAAAATGGCTCATCCTATATGGATCGAATAACAAATATGCAATTGAAGGCATTGTTAATGTAAAGTGAAAAATCACAAGCCTGCACATTTCTGGCCAACTTGATCAAACATCTCAACGAAATTTCAAATATAGCAGTGTACTAAAACAAACCATCTTGATCAAACTTTGTCTTGGGCAAGATCAGACATTAAACAAATTTTGTTGTTTTCCATGGATTCAAATGAAGGCTACAACCAAACACGAAATCATTTCGAGCAGACAACTGTCTTCAGTATTCAGTAACAAATAAAGAACATAGAGCATGTTATATTTTTTCTTCAATAGCAAAATAATTGGAAAAAAAAAAAAACAGAATGACAAGCGAAAATCTCGAATAGTAAATGAATAAAACATGAAGAAAAGAAAAAGAAAAAATGAAAACCTTCTCCAAGTTGCGAATCTCAGAGTCGATAAAAGAAACAACTCTCGGCCTCTTTGCTATGCTCTGTAGTTGTCTAAGCTCTTCCAAATCTAACGCCAATTCTTCTGCCATTTTTTTCCTTTGTTTTCACTCAATTTGCAATGAGAGGAGAAGAGCGTAGAGAGAGAATTTATAAGAGTTTTTGGGTGAACGTGGAATGGAAAATGCCAGAACTTAGAAAGGAAAATGGAGAGCCAAATTTGAACCTTTAAAATTTTAGGGTTTTTCTTTTCATCTTAAAAAGAAGGTTCTAGAGACAGGGAGATGTAAATTCTGTACACCACAACCAACGGACAGCTGAGAGTATAATTAACACGTGGCAGTATCTACTCAAATCAATAATTTAAGGTTTGGCTTAATGGTGTTTGTTTGAGTGTTTTTTTTTACTGATTTTGGAGGATTTTTAATTAGACTTGTTTTGAGATGTTTAAAAACTATTAATTATAGACTGGTTTTAACTGAGTTAAAAACCCTTCAAAACTAGTGTAATATATTTTTGAGGGGTTTATAAAACACTCTAAATCAGAGTGTTTTGATTGGTTTAAAAATTTTATCCCAAAAAAACTCCTTTCCACTATTATTCATATACAATAATCCCTTTGCTGGTTTAAAAATTTCTTCAAACGTCGTTCAATCTTCAACTTTTAGATGATTGTTACAATGCTTTTGAATCTTTTATCTTAGGCTTTCTAATCCTTCGTTAGAGATATGAAGGTTTTTCTTTCTTTCTTCTTTATTTTCCCCTTCAATTTTTTGTTCTTTTAATCTGGTAAACTCCTCTGCAGGCTGTATACAATTTAATTGCATTTCTTTACCAGTTTTTTAATAAAATTAGGTGGTTTTTCCTCTATTTGATTCTTTCTATTTGCGTTTAGGTGATTGATTGAATCTTTGTCAATTTGTTAAATAAAGTTTGTTTTTGATGGTTTTGCTTCACTGATTGAAGAAAAGAACAAAAAACTATTTTTTAGAAATGCTGTTGCGGCTGTTATATTGATAATTTGTGAAGTCCAACATTGTGGCAGCATATTTATTCTCTTACAATGACAAATTTCGAATGATTGTGTGATGAATTAAATAATATACAATGAAAGAACTTACAAATAAATTAAACTTGGAATGAACTTTGATACTAAGTATTGGTAATTAAAAAAAAAAACTCTCAAATACTGGTTGAAGTTGTGGTATTTTTATGGGCATATATGTAAATTTATTATTTTAAAAAACTGTCAGAACCGTTGGAAAATAAACTCCCAAGCACAGGTTGGGTATTTTAAAAACCGTTACTAAAAACCCTTCAAAACCGCTACGATGGTTTACCCTCAAAACCGCTACGATAGTTTACCCTCATAACCGCTACCATAAAACTCCCAAGCAAACCCTTAGTTTCTCATTCAAAATTAATATTCCATTATCACTCAAAGCCAATTCTGACAGCAAAAATCCTTTTTGTAACCTTTGATCTCTTATTTATAAAACCCCTCTCACTTTGACACTTGATTTCAACATCGATTGTTGACCATCGCAAAACTAGGGTTTCTTATTCCTAACTAATTCTGATTGATTTCGGTGGCACATATTCAATCGGTCACCACCATTTAATCCAGCAGCCTTCACTTTATAAAATCCCTCTTACCCTAGTTCCTGGTAACTCACCGAATGCCGATTGAAAAAGTAAAATGTATTTTAGGTATTCACGGAATATAAAGTTTGGGTGGAAAGATAATATTTTGAAACCTTTTGGGTAAGAAATCGCATTAAGGCAAACCTTGGGTGAAATACTGGAATGGGGCGTTTGGTTTAGGAATGTTAGATTACTAGGAATGTTGGATCACTGGAAAGATAGATTACCTTAGAAGATTACTGGAAATCTTTAGAAAAATGTGTTTGGTTAGTTGGTGGGTATGTTATATTAATATGTTTGGTGACGGGGAATAAATTGGTAGGTATGTTATTTAAATTACCAAATTGTCCCCTTTTCAAATATTAATATAATATATTTTTATTATTAATTTTTGAATAATTTTTTTTAACCCCCAATATTTCATATTTAGTTAAAACACCCCCGCTTATATAAAACTCTAATTTATTACGAAATCACCCCCACCACCTGCCGTAACCGCAGACCACCATCGGAAGTCTCTGAAAGTCCCTATTAGCAGCTGACCGTGACCAAGAGGCTTCGATATGGCCGTTTCCGGCCATATTGATGGCCGAAAACGGCCATATCAGGCCATATCTATTACAGCCAGAATAGATCTGGCCGCTAACGGCCAGGTCCATGGCCGTTAATGGCTAGATCTCATCCAGATCTGGCTTATAATGGCCAGGGATCTGGCCATTTTTTGCCATCAATATGGCCGAAAACGGCCATATTGAAGCCTCCTGGAGTCTCCCACCGAGTCTCGTTCTTTTTTAGGGACTCCGATTATTTTTCGGCGGCGACCCATGGTGGTTGGCCGTTGTCAGCGGTGGTGGCTGGGTGGCAGTGGTGGTCTATAAATTATTATAAACATAAGGGTATTATTGTTCAAAATTTTAATTAAACAAGCGTAAAATTGAAATAGGATATTAATGTAAATTTGTTTTAAAGTAAGGGTATTATTGTCCAATTTTTTTATTAATAAGGGATAAAATTGTAATAAAAAAAGATAACCCTGATAATCTCAAAATACCTAAGAAAATAGAGGTAATCAGATTACCTCCGATACTACCAATAATAATCACTATTGGTATTTGAAGATTACCAGTATCTTATATTACTTGACAACCAAACATGGTAATCAAGTAATATAAGATGACATTACCCCAGTCATCCTCTATAACCCCCAACCAAACGGCCCCGAATAGATATGTTTATTACAATAAAGTATCTGATATTAAAAATATAAAATTATTTGTTCTTTATATTCCTTTGAAAGCGGGTTAATTTAATTTTAGGAATTTGGGTCTTTCATTTTTCACTATCTCAATCATAACTTGTCTATTTTTTTTTTTTGATATTGAGAGGTGTCCGAGTCAACTTGCGCGCATCTCAACTAGTCTCTCAAAACTCTAAAGTTAAATTTCAAGGTAAATAGAGTTCAAGTTTGGTACAAAAAAAATAATGTTTTCAACAACAATATTTGGTTTTGGTCTCTGTACAATTGTTATTATTGTCACTCATCACTCTGGTTTCTCGTTTGATCATTACAGGCTAATTTATTCCTTTGCTTTACATAAATTGGGATGGTCCCCTTTTCTCTTGGTTGTGTGAAATTAACACATTCTGAAGCTGCTTTTGTAATTGTGCTCTTACATGGTAATTAGAAGCTAAGTTTCTGTTCATATTCTCTTTCATAGCCAAAAGTTCTGACTTCCTCATCTCAGCTGCGGCCAATTCAGAATTACTCAAATGTCCATTGTTGCCTTGAAGATCCTTGACGGTGAGGTTGAGCTAAAAGAAAGATCAGATTAGTAACAAATGCTTAATTTTATTTGATTAGAATCAAGATGTGTAATTAACACAGAAGTTCTTCCACATTATCATCAAGAACAAACCATTCTACATCATCACTTTGAATTCAGCTAGTTGAAATAACCAAATCTATTCTGCTTTATCATGCCAGTAAAAAATAAAACTATCACTGTGTTCTTGCCTCAGTCATAAAAATGAAATACACATTCCTTGTTCTTTATAAGGAAGGGAACAAAACCATAAAATTTCAGTTGTATCTACATGCAGAAAATTGCTTCAAGCATTTTGATAAGAATTCTGTCCTAATTACTCCTTTTTTTTTTTTTTTTTTCTTTTTATGACCGAGGTGTCTAAACCAGCTTTTACGTACCTCAACTAATTCCCAAAACCCTGCAACTACCGATCGCTTAAAAGCTCCAGTGGCCATTCCTATTAACAACTGAAGAGGGATTTGAACTCAAGACATCTTGCGTAATACACCCAAGAGTTTCTATCAAACCACTCGACCACCCAAGGGTTGGTTATTACTCCATTTTCTCACTCCTTTTATCTATCAATTTAGTATCAGCTAGAAGAAGCCACTAATATAAAACTCACTTTAGCCAAGAAGACTTGGAGAATTTAGCTCAATTCGATGTTTTAACGAATACATGGTCATTAGTCAAATTAGCTTTGTTTGTAGTTTCTCAATTTCACAAAAACTTAATCACACTTCTCAACTTTTGCATTCAGTCATGAAGCTTCAAATTATTATGGCTCCAATCAGATGTGAGTTAACTGAATGCATCTAACTGACTAATTAAGTCGGTTTCTGAGCTATATATATGCATGGTGAAATGTTCCAAAAACCTTAACTAATGTAACCATAACATCATAAACCAATGACAAACTACAAATCCATTTTCAGTAAGAAGAAAATTCTTGCTTCGTAATAGCATTACGCAGCACTTGAGAATTACCTTCAGAGGAAACATCAGTCTATACTCTACTTTAACACATAGAACAGTATAAAGTCTTCACAGCTAGAAAAGCTACCAGTGTCTGATCAGATAAAAAAATGAATATGATCACCCAGCAAGAAGTTGCAATCCATGTCTTTGGGAATGCATGTCCATGACAGTAGTCTCTTTAAAAAATGGATCGAAGTTTAAAAAATTATTCCTAAAACATGCCATTTTGCTCTTAACCATACCTAACCTTACAAATTTATAGCCTCAGGTCCCCAACAAGCAGATCCTATTCAGCCACTTAGAACTATATATATAATGCAAGCACATATCAAATTCCAGAAATAAAATCTTACAATTCTGCCCAATTCTCAGCCATTGCCCCTTTTTGGTGCAACATATCCAGTACTGTTCAAATTACAATCGTATGATTTTCAATATTTCCTCATACAACATTCATAAAATCATAAGAGCATGATTGATTTCTCAAGTATGGAGAAATGAGATGCAATAATTTTACCTTATTTATGTTATTTCTCAATCCTTCAATTTGTAACCTATATCCTTCCACAAAGTTCTCCACATTTTGCCGAAACTCCTTCATTTCAATTCCTTTTAACTCATAATACCTCTCCTTCTCTTTCTCCATCATCTCCAGCTCTTCCACCTCACTCTTCAAAACCCTAAAAGTAATCCAATCCAATCCAATCCAGTTCATTTCAAACGACGAAAACAAGACAGAAATCTAAACAAATACTTTATATTTACCTCAATCTTTCTACACTTTCTTGGTACTTCGGATCCAAAATCTCAATCTCGGACTTGAGAGACGATATTTTGAAATTCTGTGACGCAATTTTTTGATCAAGTAAAAGGCATCTTTGCTCCATTGACCGTATACTCGCGTGCTTCGACACTAAAACTTGAGACTTGTTCGCTTGCACTTCTTTCTCTAGCTGAAATTACACCAAAAATATTATTTCAAACTCTATTTTCTCAGTAAACAAAAAGAAATATAGGGTCAGGGTTTGGTGTGAGGACCTGGAGAAGTGAAATGCGTTGGTTTCTGGTGTGTTCCATGTGTTCGAGCCTTTCTCGAAACGCGGAGGAGAGCGCCATTGTGAACTGAAACAAAGAGCTGGAAAATTAGTTCGAATTTTGGTATTTATATAGGGAGAGGCCAGCCCATTTGTTATGGGCCCAAAACGGTGGGCGGCAAAGCCCATTTGTTAAGGTGAAAGATGGATGTTAGTAGTAGCAAAGGCCTTATTTTATTTGGTTAGAATCAAAGTATAAGCTAACACAGTTTTTCCACACCGTCATAGTTTAAGCAACTTTAAAATGAACAACCATTCTACCTGTAAGGTGTTCCGTGGCCCTGAGGATTAGACAGGTTCAGTTGACAATTATGTCTGGATATCTCAGTTATTAAAAAAAAAAAAAAAATGGTAATAGTCGGTTGAACTTTGTTTGTAGATTCTCAATTTCACAAAACCTGAATTGCATTTCTCAATTCTTGCATTCAGTCATGCAGCTTTCAAATTGTTATGGCTCTCCAAACCATCTAATTAGTTTGAATTTTTGGGTTTTTATAACAAAAGGTTGAGCCCACTAGTTTTGACTGATGGGCCCAAGTCGGGATGCCTTAATCGTGGGCTCGCATCTCTTTTTTTTTTTTGGTAAACGTGGTGTCCAAGTCAACTTGTGTACATCTCAACTAATTATCCTAGAGTTCATTAAACACCCTATAAGCCTAAAGGACCAGGTAAACCACAATATTATTGTGATAAGTGACCCTAAGATTTGAATCTCAAAAACTCAAGGAATTGAGCAAACCTTCTTGACCGTGAGACCCTAAATTTCAAATATTTTTAAAAATAATCAACAAAATCTAATAAATTTTCTTTATTGGGTACCTGTTTTAAAATTGAACTATCTTATATGATATCTTTTTTTCTATATCCTAAAATTTAAAAAAAAAAAAAGGAATTCATTAAATTTTAAATATAAAATATTATTAATAAAATTTTTGAATTTTCTAATTATTCATTATATTAATTTGAAATTATAAATATTTAATTCATGAATAAAAATATTCATATATTTACAGGAGAAGCAACAGTCTACAAACGAATCCCCCTTGAATCAACTTTGGGAGGGGATCAGGTTAATTTGAATTTTTTATTTTCTATTTTAAAAAAAAAAAGAAGAAAATCACTAATATCCATTTCTTTAAAGTTAACTATAAAATATAAATCTTGATGTATGAGATACCAAATGAATTTCAATTTATGATAATGTACTGAGGAAGCCAACATATAGCTTTATTTAACTCATTGAAATCATCTTTAATCCTTATTATATACTTACATTTCCTTTTTACAAAATCAAAAAGATTTTATTCTTTACTTTGACATTATAAAGATAGATAATTACTACATAGATTTAGATTATATATATAGTGTATGAATATGATTACGTTAAATGAGAGTTTTGGTAGTTCAGATAGTCATGACGAATTGAAGATAGTGTAGATAATTGTATAGTCTCAGATTGGATTTTTTATCTGAGTATCTGCGATTTAAGTGGTCGGTCATGACAGTGGATTGTTGTGTTAGTTTCTCCCAAAGATTAGTCGATGTGTCCGTAAACTAGTCCGAATGCCTTGGTTAAAAAAATAAAAAATTCTAAAAGTAATTCGATATGTACATTATAAGATATGACATTTACAGATATAATAGAATAACCTATGAAGATTTAGTTGTCGAGAAAATAAAAATAAATAATAAAAACTTGGAGGTTTGGATTTGTAAAAGGGTTTTATATTTTAATATATCTGGTTACATATAGGTCCAAACTCCAAAGAAATTCGGTCTAAAACTGATGAAAAACTTCCAAGTAAAAGAGGATTCTGCTTTACAAAAGCATCTTGCTCAAATTATGCCCCATTAAAGCTACCGTCCCTCAACACAAGCATTATCATAATATATCTTCATAAAATTCCGATGCCAGTCAAAAAAATAACCCAGAGACACTAGGAGTAGGAACCCTTTCACATTTTCACTTTGGCCATTCTTGTAACCAAAACAATGGATCTGTCATCTGGCTCTACAATTATGCTTAAGCCAAGAGGTGCCAATATGATTAAACCAACGTTTTTTAATAAAATATTGAAAGTAATAAGATCAAACTGAAGAAGGCATAATGTTTTTAATAAAATAATTACATAATTAAAACAATCTATATGAAAATTTCAGTTAATTAAATCACCTGAAAACACCCTTATCCTGTTAACTGAGGTATCCGGGCCAGTTTATACGCACCTCGACTAATTCTTAAGGAAAGTTATTCCACAGTGACTCATCATAGGCAAAGGTAGTTTATACGTACCTCAACTAATCTTCAAGTGAAGAAGCTATCCCACAGTAACCTATCGCCCAACAGGAAATCGAATTTGGGATCATAGATTAAAGTCATGCACAACCCCCTTGGTTCGCCCTTATCATTGGGCTACCCGTGGCCGTGGGTAAGTAATATAGAATAACTTTCATTTGTTTGATTGAGTAGGTTTGATTTCTTGTAGTTAATTTTGAGCCAATTTAATCTGTATGTACATGTTTAATCGTGACATTTTAATATAAATAATTTTTTTTTTCCTATCAAAATCTTTATTTGATGAGGTTTCTTTGATCATATCATAATTCTTTATTGTTAATTGAGCTATCTAGGTCCGTTTATGTCCATTATGCACAACCCCCTTTGTTCATCATTACTACTGAACTACGACTGCCCATGGGTGAGTCATATTATAAAATTTTTCTCGCTGATATATATAGTTTATAAATTCAACACCACTTCTAAAAACATATCATTAAGTTTCTTATATATAGTTTAAATTGTTTTATGACTCATAATGGACCTATTTGTAAAGTAATTTTCTATGAACTCATGATACTGGGGATAACATTTTGTTATCACCATGTTTTATTAGGGGCCCAATGGTGATGATTAAAAGTTAATCATTCATTGATATTAGAAACAAAATACAAAATCAGCAACCCATCCATGATGAATCCAATGATTTTTGAAGAATAAAGATAATATTAATATACAAAATTAAAAAGAGGGTCATCGATTCCTTCTTGTCATGTCATGAGTGCGCCAAGGAAATTTAATAATAGATGAGATCAGATATATTTATTTATTTATTTATTTTTCGTCCCCCCCTTTTGGACTTAGCCATAGCCGGTGATTTATGACTCTAATTCGTACGTCAACATCCTAAAGTTTTATAAAAGCATGTTGTCAAAAATAAATAAATAAAAATCTCAAAAAGAATCAATAAAGTTTAGAACACATCCGCAAGATTTACCTTGTAATTTGTTAAATTCATTATTTTATTCTAGCTAATTCAATAAAGGCATTTTTTAATTTGAATAAATAAACTCATTCAGATTGTATAGTATAAACTCTTAATTTACAATCTGATATTAAATCTATTATCTATATAGACCATATCATCTATATACTCTTAATTTGTTAGGGGGTCAAGGATGAGATAATGATGGGGTTAGGGGGGTTCAACAGTGGCCGGAATCAAGTCAATTTAGCTTGAGAACGACAATCGTGTGGTGAGGGATTGGGTTGTGGGAAATGGCGAAATCCGGTCAAATTTCCAATTAAACGGGGTTGGGGTGGTGTTCTTGCCGTGACGGGTGAAGAAAACTGATTGGGAGGCAATTTGGATCTTTGCTTGATTTGAGTTGTGTGTTGTTGGATTCTTGAATTGTTTTATTTCGAGGTATGAAGTTTGGATCTGAATTTGAGGAGGAGGAGATGAAGTTTGGATTTGGTGGAGGTCCAAGTGTCGGAATAGCACTCGGCCGATTGCGATTCCGATCAAATGAGATATGGGATTTGGTCATTCTATATTATAAATCATAGACTATGAACTTATAATTTAATTTTCTATGAATATAAACTTTTGGTAGCCATATTTTCAAACCTCGTTTCTACTTTCAAATTAAGTAAAGGAAATGCCATGACCCACTTGCTTTAATTTGAGGTAAAACAATAATTAGTGATGAAATGACACTACATTATCCAATCTAATGACACTTGGTCATGATAAAAATGTGGATTTGTCAAAAAGAGCCGATTAGATCATTAAACCATTCAATGTATCAATTAACCAATTAAAACTTAATTAAAGTTAGAAGCACATGGTGAATTACGTGTGCATGGGACCTATCTATGATGTTTCCCACTAAAACCATGTCATCAACTAGCAGAAAGCCGACGAAACGCCGGGCTACACCAACCCTTTCTTCTTCCCTTTTAAACTAGAATAGTCTTGTTTTCAGTAGAAGCTTCAAAGATCGATACGACGAATATAAAGATGAATTCAGAGTTCCAAAATTCTTAGTGGGGTTACACAAAATTTTAGACAACTTACATGTATCTTAACTAATTTATATTGGAGTTATCGACCACTTCAACAATAAGAGGTCAAGCAGACGCATTCGGAGGTTTTTCCATGACGTAGGTAGTTTGGGCCTTTTTCATGGAAAGCCGTTGAATGATTTCTTTAAGTTATTAATTCTTTATTGGATTTGAGTTTAAGAATAGAAATCCTTGTAATATTAGGTTTTAGTCTTTTAAACTTGATATATAAATATATTTTTCTCTTATAATAAGTGGTAGCAAACAATAAGGCAAATTACATTAATTGTAAACAAATAAGTTAAGGCAGTATTGCAATAATATTGACTTAGCTAGACGCAGCTTGTTAATTGGGTAAACCAAGGTAAAATCGCACGTATTTCTTCTTCTCTTTATTGTTTGTGGTTTGTATGTTTACTATTATTTTTGTTTTCGTAACTCTCTATTAGTTCAATCCCTGAAGTCTGTTGAACACCCTACAAACCCAATAATGTTTCAAAGTAAGTCACAAATATGGTAGACGGGTGGTTTAAACCCAAAAAGTTAATAAAATGAACAAACCTTCTTGACAGCCAAACCAACCTCTCTCTCGGGGAGTTTTATACCAAAATTCTTAATGGCATTCCATAAAATTGGGCAATTTTATTGAATTTCTTATTATTAAGTTTAATTTGGTGGTGGGGTTGAGGCTCAACTTAAGAATGGCTGGGGTGCATGTGCTCCACGTTGGTTGATGAGAGAATTGTAGACCAACCCCATCAAGTTTAAGTAAGGATGAGGTGAAATTGTCTCCCCATGTTTGAAGACTAGATAGATAAATTAAAAGAAAACAAAAGCTCCTTTTCCTTTGCAAAAAGGATTGGTAATGACCAACTGCTGACGGTTTTTTGGCAGGGAAAGGGAATAAAGCCATAGCTAGGCCGCCCAAAATTCAGTTGAGGATAGAAAAAAAAGAACCAGAACAAAGCCTAACCTTTTTGCACTTTATAATATTATCGTTATCTCTCTTCGTATATATTTTATTTTATTTTTTTCATAGAGACAGAGGAAAGGTAAGGAATTAAAGCTAAGAAAACTATTTTTATATATATAACAATGTTTATGGATTCCACGTTCAAAGAAGGGGGCTTTCCTGGTGACCAATAAGGTGAGCCTTGTAGTACTCTTTTTTAATTAGATTAATAAATACATTTTTTACATAAACATATAGTTTCCTAGAATGACAGAAGAAATAAATGAGAGAAATTAACAATAAAATCTAATTAGAAAAACTAAGCTATGGCTCTCGTCAACTCATGATCAAGCTCTCATGCATTTTCTGATTTGAGACAGCGAGCGCCGGATTGAATCTTTGTTGTGAATAATCGTGGTGAGATTTTGAGATCATCGAGGTTATGGCCTGTGAATAAAGGTTTTCATGCATCAATACTTTGAGGTTTGGGTTATTAACTTGTGCAAATGGGGTTGGATGGATACCTTTTGGTCTTTCATTAAAAAGACCCAAAAGTAAAACCCCATATCAATTTTCTTACCAAAAAGTAATATTTACATGAAATTCCCATTTCCTTAATATGGTCTTCGCATAAAAGCTTGGAAACTCAGCAAAAACACAAACATCCAGTTCATCAAGCTTTGATTTTCCCTGTTTGCTGCCTGTTCCATAGTAAATTTCCATTTAAAGAGGAAAAGAAAACAAGGATAAAGGAAAAGAATTAGATCATCAAAGCTAAATTTCTTATTAAACATATTAATTACAACAATAAAAACTTCTATTACTGTATATGTAGATATATGTACAAATTTGCTCTTTGCATTTCTATACACTTTTTTTTCCTTTTGTCTATAATACACACTTTCCTATATCTTTTGTAATTGAATTACACTAAAAGAATTTGATGTAGCAGGAAAAAAAAAAAAAAAAGAAAGAAAGAATTTAGAACCTATGGTTTTACCTTGGATGCAGAAGAAGTGAGAGAGACGGTGGCAGAGGAAGTTGATGATGAAGAACTTGAAAGGGCAGAGATCCCCACATTATAAGCCATGGTTCCATCAGGCTGATAGAGACCATAATTTCTTTCTGAAGTCGGTCCAGGCTTCCTGTCTTCATTGAACAAAGCAAACAAGTAAACTTCAAGCCTCATATTGGGCCTCAATGGTGTCCCTTCATTCGCCAATTGCCTTCTCAACAAATTCCTGTTATAAACTGCCGCATTTTGAACAGATGCACCAACTTCATCCGCGTCACCTTTTGATGGCCACCCCGTCTCTGAAACCCTTACTTCAATCCCATTGTAACCCAATCTAGCCATTGCAAAGACGACGGCGTCTACTTGTGCGTAAAGCATGTTGTCATAGTGTAGCTTTGTGGAAGGATCAACCATGCCTGCATTAGGATTAAAAAGCACATAGTCCAAGGAAATTCTATTGGGGTCACCTTTGTATGCAAAATATGGATATGCATTAATCCAAAATGGCGCCTTGGTACTAGACAAGAACTGTAAAAGCTGTGACATGACGCCGGCGACTTCGCTTTTGAAACTACCGGCTGAAGGAGGGAATGATTGTTCAAGAACTGCTAAAGAACTTGGAGTTGAAACATGCATGTACTTATCGAGGCCTAATTGAACTAGGGCACCATGGATGCTCACAATGGCTGGAACTAGGTATTGTAGAAGCGATGAGTCACCGTCAGTGAAGAGCTCATTTCCCACAGCGATTCCGGTGATCTTTGTGGCGGGAACGTATGGCTTGATGTGGGTGCTGACCCATTGAAGCGCTTGTTGAGGATTCGTCACAACCGCCAACATTTCGTTTTCGATTGTGACAATAAGCTCAACGTTGGAGTTGGCAAATGCTGTTAACACTTGAGGATTCGTGTCATAAATTCTTGCTTTTGTGAGCTTAACCGCGCTCAAGAGATCGAGCACCTTGTCCGGTGAAGGCAAATTGTCGGCAACTTGCCCATAATTGATTCCAAAAGAGTTGACTCCTAGTAGAAAACCATAGTTAAAACTTAATCAGAAAATGCAAAATAAAAGATAATTAAACACAAAATTTTAAGGTAAAAAACCAAGAGGGTACCTGAGAAAGTGAAAGAAAATAGAAGAAAAACATGAGTTATGGAAACAATCCTTGAAAAAGTTGCCATGGAGATGAAGCAGATGCCTTATTATTCAAAGTTTGAGTACGGAAGAGACAATAGATATATATAGAGAGAGAGAGAGAGACAGAGAGAAATAATGAAGAACAGGAAGAGGCTATGAATTCTTTTCTTTGCTTGGTTGAAAATTCTTATGTTTGTGGGGATGTTTTAGTTTGCCTTGTCGATGTTGCCTTTGGTGTCTGTCTTATACCTCTTAACAGGTTTTAAAATGACTTGGTTTTGTTAACTTCTTGTGCTAAAATTAAACGGCTTAGCTTTCTCGGTACGACTTATCTCTTTCCAACACAAGCCGACATTAGAATTTCTTATGGCCAAATTGACCCGACCACTTGCTTCAGACAAAAGCAAAGGGAAATCCCACTACTTGGTTAAATATTACAAGGAAGCAATAGTATAGTATCCCTCTAGATTTGGGTTTCGATCGGTGGTGAAATAATGAACATTAATTAGCTAACTACAATGATAAGTGATTCTACTTTTATCTCAATAAATATATCAATAGATTCTAACACTTTTTAGGCAGCGGACTATTTTGCTTTTCTGCAATAGAAAGCATCTAGACTTAACATGGTTACCATCTGATCATCTATGGGATTATCTTTTAATTACGTGACAGCTTTTAGTTAATCAAGGATCTAATTCATAATTAATTACTAAAAACTATCAAAAAATAGTGCTTATGTATGTGGGTTTGTCTCAAAATGTCCTAAAACTTAGGATGAGTTGAACTTTCTCTAACCTGGAAATGGTCATTCATTGAACTCTGATCTGAGAATTCAAGATTGGTTTGCAGTTTTCTTTTGAAGATATAGTTTGACCAACTTAAAAAACGTAAGCTCATTGAAAGTTAAACAAAGTCATCATCCTGTAGAGATTAGACAATTACACATCTTTTTTGCATCGTGCTATTTCATTAACTGATATAAATATCAGTTAGTCTACCAAATTTTGAACATAGAATTTGACCACTTCAAAAAATTTGAAGTTTATTCATCATCCTGTAAACTGTAGAGATTATTAAACTATTACAATTACTGGCCATCAGAAAAGTAAAAGCTTAGCTGACAAGGAGTCATTGACTTTGTGGTGTTGAAATAAAGTTATAAAAACGCCTTTCTGATCAGGAGACAAACAAAGAGTGTGACATAGGGTTCTTGGTGGGAAGATTCAAAGATATATATAACTTACGTGATTTGGCCAAACTAGAAGCCCCATTGAAAAGTGAGGTTCGGCAAAGGGATAAGGAATGGAATTGTTTGTCGACGTAATTAAGCTAGTCATGTCCTTATCTTTAGTTAATGACAATTAAATTAATGGCTGCTTCTTTTCTTTTCCTGGGTGACGATGCAAATTACAATGTTCGTTTCATATTACTTGGTCAATTATATTGAATCTGTATTTCTTCACATGCAAATACATTAGAATTACTCCAGCCATCAGGATATTTATTAACGTTAAGAAAAGAATTTTGATTTGGTTTTGTCACCAATCATTTTCATTTATTTTATTTTATTATTCTTATAAGTAAATAGTATCATTAAACAAGAGAAAGAATGTGCAGAGAAACCTTCAAAAAAACCGACATCTTAGAAACCTAATTTTTTTCTTGTTTGTTTATGTTAAGCATACGAAGAATATAAAACAGGACATGCCCAATCATTTTCATTGCCTTCGATATTTGAGTAACACTAACCTTACAAAGAGACATACAAACAGCTATACAAAGAGACAATCCCTATCTTTAAAATTCATGATTGTCTCTCTCTCTCTCTTTTCCTTCTTTTAAGGGTAAAAATTGTTTTTTTTTATGACTCTTTGTATGCCTCTTTGTAAGGTTTGTATTACTCCTGATATTTATTTTGATTTCAACTTGTGGTTTTATTTATACCAACACGTCTCTCATAACAGTAGTTTGATGTTTGTCCAGTAGTAGAAAAAAAGAGTCCATTCTAATCTGGGTTCGAGTCATTGTCTGTGTATGAAATGGTAGACCTTTGGATACAGTCTACTTTTTTGTACTTGTGAAGTCAATAATGTAACAATCAAAAACCCTTTTGAGCTGGTAATTAACACGTATGATTATGATATGCAACAAACTGTCTATTAACTTGGTGGAGACTGGAGAGTTCTAAGATTTTGTATTTGGCGTTGCAAAATATCAAAATCTTGGAGATATTCATGATGAATTACAACATGGACAGATAAATTAATGGTTTCAAAAAACAAAAGGAATGATCATTTACTTTCCTCATCATAATAGCAATATGCCAAATTGAGATTTGTTATCTTATAAGTAACGTTACCTAATATGACAAGTCATGGATTAACTATTCATGAGCAGTTCTTAATCTTTAATCCAAGTGGCTAATGAAAATTTATCATCCATAACTTATAATATCCTTAATTCTTGTGCAGTAAAACCCTGAGGCACAGATTCACGTCACATGACAGTCTTTTTAGGTTAATTTTAATTACAAGTTTATTACTGTAACAGGATATAAGCATACTTTTTACTCAAATTAAGGGTCTGAAATTATTCACTTTGTAAGCCACACGGTGTGCAGCAAAACAAAGAAAACAATACAAAAACAGTGGACGTAAGATTTACATTGAGCATCTAAACCACTTTAAAAATTGTTTTTCTTATGCAGTCCAGTATATAATCTTTGAGTATTATACAAACTCCCACATAAATCATCTTGAATCTTACATATTTCTCGTTGGGGCAAATTGGTGTATATCAACATTATTCATGTACTGAAACTTGTTAAGTTTTTAAGTACTTAATTGATTAACCAAACTTATTACAGTAATGGCACTTGTATGAATAGGGATTTTCATTCTCATGACCCTTCATATCCTTCTTTCTCTTCTTTTAGGATCATCTTGAATGCTCGATATTTTCTTCGCCTTTCCTCGATATTTTCAGTGGCTTCAGCATTCATACTGCCTAACCCAAATCTTGATCCTATTCATAACTATGAAATTAATTACTTAATCAAGTTGATCTTTTACGTAATTGGATCCATCGGGCATCAACTAAGATTCGGCATATAAAGGGGTTTCCATCCTTTTAATTTCAGTACAAACAAGTAGATTGTTAGATGATTGGTTAGATTAGCCGGATAATTCAAATATAAGTTGAAGTTGAAGTTGATTAGATAGACATCCATTCCTGGTAATCTTTGAGCAAAAAACAACTTGCGGTGAAGATTTTCATTTGCCTTTAGTTGTTGGTGAAATAGTATTAAGTGGCGTCACCCCGGCCAAGCATGTGATCTGTACTAGTATAAAGAGATAAAAAGAAAGGTCTCGCCATTACAAAAGGTGACCCTTTATTTTTGCTTAAAGCATTCATTCATGGTCATCAATATTCTATTGAAAATAGTTAGATTTATTACCTCATTTAATATGCTTTTTAATATCCACCTCATATTTATCATGTATTTTCTTCTCCCACCTCTCACCCTCTTCCTTTCTCACTTTTCTTGTTTCTTTTCTTTTGTTTATACTAACAAGGATAAACCCTCTCGTTAGCTTAGCCCCATATGATTTCACAATTGTATTATGGGCAAACACTTGGGGCCTCTCTCATTTTCGTTCTATGCAAAATGCAAAAAGCAGAAGAAGAGGAAGGATCAAATCTTTCATTTATTCGGCCCCATGAATTAAAGAAAAAAAAAAAGAAATGGTAACCACCATGTAGTCCTTTGTTAGTTGGTCAATGCTAAAAAGCAAATTTTTATATATCCAGAATGGATTTGTTTTTGTGTGGGTGTGTGTGTGAGTGAGAGAGAGATATGATAAAGAAAACCAGTAAAGATGAGATTGCTTTTGTTAAAGAGATATGTGCATGTTGATGTGTGTTTAAAAAGATGGAAGAAGCATCATGGAAGAAAAAGGAGATAGATAGTGTTAAACTGTGGAATTTAAAGTTTGTGTGAATTGTACAATGCATGAAAGGCTGAATGATTCATCAACAGTGCACATGCACTGTAGGATCAAGTAGTATATTCCATTCCTTAGATTGGTTTGTAAAATCATTACCCCAATTCCCCAAGGGGTAACCATGATGGAAACCAGGAAAGAGATAGTTTTGTGAAAAGGAGAGGCAAAGGCGAAAATATAGATGGCCAAGTTTGCTCATCTCATCATCTGCAACACAGGTTATCATGATAAGCAAATTGATGAGACAAACGAAAAGCAAGAATGGTTATTGGTAAATTTAATTTTCTTTTTTCTTTTTTCTTTTTTCTTTTTTTTTTTTTTTTACAGCAAAAGAGAGTTATATGGTATTGCTTTTGAGATATGGTATTGTCAAAGTTGTGGTGCCCATCTAGCTAGATGCGCCCATCTCTAGAGTTGGAATTTCTCTCTTTCAAATAATTTTTCACGAATTCTAAAAGAGGAATGCTATACTTACAAAGATGCATACAAAGACGGGCATACAAAGATAAATCCAACCCTTGAAAGAAGGGAAAAAGAGAGAGAGAGAAAGACAATCATGAAGATTAAGGGTAGGATTTGTCTTTGTATACCCCTCTTTGTATGTATCTTTGTAAGGCTAGCATTTCTCATTCTAAAATGTCCATTAAAGTTAACGATATGTAAGGCAAGTTAAGACAGCAAACTCTAAGAGATTGGTCTGATAATCAAGAAGATTTTCTCTCTTTATTGATTTCTTGAGTTCGAATCTTAGGGTTACCTACCACATTTTTTACTTATCTTGAAACATTGGATTTGTATGATATTCAATGGATCACGGAAATTAGTCGAGATAAGCGCAAGCTGATCCGGACACCCTAGTCATAACAAAAAAGAAGTTAAGACATCAAACGAGGCCTTATAAATATGTTTACATGTTTCATTCAATGCAAGTAAGGACACCAAACAAGGCCTTATAAATATGTTTACATGTTTCATTCAATGCAAGGACACCAAACAAGACCTTATAAATATGTTTATATGTTTCATTCAATGCAAGGACACCAAACAAAGGCTTATAAATACGTTTACATGTTTCAACCATGGTTATTAGTATCCTACGATACACGATACATATCCTACGATACGATTTGATACAAATCGCCAACGATACGTATTAAAGAGTGTATCATAAACCTTTTGATACGTTGATATGTATCCTACGATATGATAAGTATTAGTTCGTATCCTTAAAAATATTGATAC